CCTTAAAATGTAGAATTACAGATGCACTTTAAAAATACATTGGAAAAGGTTGTTTTAATGTTGAAAAACTCTCTAATTGATCATCTCGACAATGAGATGTATGACTATGAAAAAAAAAAAAGATTTTGAGTCCCATAAATAATGCATCTTACAACACATTATCTAGATCGTCCGTTTTTAAAAAAATTTATATGTTTATAGATCTACTTAATTTTAACCATTTTTAAAGTTTAAAATTTTATAATTAGATATAAAAATAGATTTTGAGATAATCCTAAGAATTTTTTACACCAAAATTACATGTTATGATAAAATTTGGAGGTTCACCTTAATTGGATTGTTTAAGGTTGCAACCTTATAGAAACCACACCCATATCTAAGTATTTTGGGAGGTGATTTAGGTTGTTAAACATACATTTAATTTTTAAATATTGAAACTTATTTGAATTACAAAAAATCCAAAAATATCTAGAAATTTGAGTGCAACCAAATATAGCCTTAAGTAAGATTTGTTTTAAAATTTGGTATTATCAATAATTTTCAACAGGGCTAAGTTGGCCTTTGGAACTTGCCTTGGCCATAGGCCAAGTTACTCGGATGAGTCCTAAAACATTGAGTCTTGTTAATCAACCTTGGGACTCTTATCTTGAGCAGCCACTGCACACAATTGCAAGGTCTAGGGTGCTCAAAAGGAACTAACTCTGATACCAATTTGATGCAGGCAGGGGCCTGCAAGATGTTGCTAGGAATACCTTCATTCTCACCAATAGATTCAAAAATTAATTATTTTAGAAAAGAAATTGTGATAACATCCCCATACCTTGTTAGCACGTTGTGGTTGTTAATCGTGCTGATGCCACCAATTGACATCTTCAAAAAATGTAACTCTTTGATCTATTTGAAGAAAATGGGCAGGGGCTTATCTTACCCACTAAATTACCTGAAAAAATAAAAAATAAAAATATGGTTTTTTATTTATTTATTAGAAATCCTTGTTAAAATCTCAGATCAATCCAATGAAATAGTTTTGGGAAAAAAAAAAGGTGTTGAAAGATTGATTTTGGATGAAAAAAGTTAAAAATACTTGATGATAAAAAAAAGCATAAAAACTGGGGAAAATTATAGATACCCCCAATTTCAACTTTCTACACATCCTACCTTCCAATACTTTTTGTATTATACCCTAAACTCTAATACTATTTTTCTTTATATTTAGGAAAAATTACATAAACCCTCCAAAATCAACTATTCATTCAACTTACCCCCACCTAAACTTTCCTCACTACTTTTTTTTAAAACCCATATTTCCTAGCAAATATCCCCCCACTTAAAAAAAAAGAATTATAAGACAATGCTACCCCTCCCTTACCGACGAACCTATTTCTACTCTTGCTCTCTCTCTCTTCACTGGTGCTCTCTCTCTTCACTGGCGCTCTCTCTCTCTCTTCATGATTTACCCACCTATTTCTACGCTCACTTTCTTCATTAGCGTTCTCTCTCTCTTCATGATTTACTTGCTGTTACTAGTTCGACATTTGTATATTGCGGTCTTGCGATTAGGAAGGGTAATCCGGCGTTTTTATGGGGCACTCCGACGTTTCATCTTACTGGAACTGCCTCGGTCTGGTGTTCTGAGGGGTAGTCCGGCGGTTAGGGTGCCAGTCCGGCGTTCATATGCTACAGTCCGGCAATTAGGAAGGGCAATCCGGCATTTTCATGGGGCACTCCAGCGTTTCATCTCACTGGAACTGCCCTAGTCCAGCATTCTGAGGGGCAGTCTAATGGTTAGGGAGGCTAGTCCGACGTTCGTTTATTGCAGTCAGGGATTTTTTTTGTTGGAGGGGCGCTCCGGCGTTATAGAAATTTGATCCGGTAATTTCGTTTTATTGGACCCGAAAATGACTTTTTAAAATACAGGAATGGTATCTTCATAAAAAAACAGTTCACTTTTTGTATTGAGGGGATATTTACTAGGAAACATAGTTTTTGAGAAAAAGTTGTTAGGAAAGCTTAAGTAGGGGGTAAGCTGAATGAACCGTTATATTTAGGAGGGTTTATGTAATTTTCCCTTGTATTTATTCTCAGTCAAATAGTCAAAGCATTTTGAGACCAAAATGCCCCTTTTCCCTCTCTTTCCCTTTTTTATCTCCTTTGTCCTTATTAGATAAGTGACCCTCTCTTACTTCTGTCTCTACCTCTCTCCACCAATCCTCTTTCTCTTTCTCTCTACCCATTTCTCTTTCTCTCTCTGCCCTCCTTCTCTTTCTCTCTCTACCACAAAAAAAATTTCAGTTTGGTGCAAAAATGTGTCGGACTGCATTATGGTCATGTAAAAGTTGTCCGACACGTTTTTGTGCTGGATTGAAATTGTTTTGCGGTTTGACATGTTTTTGTGCCGGACCGCATTATAGATATGTGAGTGGTAGAGAGAGAAAGAATAAGGGAGGGTAGAAAGAGAAAAAAAGATAAGAGAGTGAGACAGGGTAGAGAGAGAAAGATAGATATAAGGAGAAATGGTGCGGGAGGGTAGAGAAAGAATGAGGGAGGGTAAAGAGAGAAAGAATAAGGGAGGGTAGAGAGAAAAAGAGAAATATAGAGAGAAATGGGCGGAGAGAGAAAGATAGAGGACGGGTGAGTGAGGTTTTTTTTGGTTATTAGATAGAGAGAGTTTGAGAAAAAAATATAAAAAAATATGTTAGAAAAGGGAAGAGAGAGAGAGAAAAATGGCATTTTGGTCTCAAAATGCGTTGACTATTTAAGTGGAGGTAAATACAAGAAAAAATAATGTTAGACTATTTAAGTGGGGGTAAATACAAGAAAAAATAATGTTATTTGCTATATAATAGAAAACGTATTGAGGGTAGGATGTGTAAAAATTTGAAAATGGGATAATCTATAACTTTTTTTAAAAAATCCTTTGTTTTTTTTTTTTCCTTGTTTTTTTGCATAAAAGATTATATCGGGCAACTAGCCGGGTCCGAGAAAGGATCACCCTACTACCCAACTAGTTCATAGTTGACTTGGGCGGTTCCGGATTGACTCGATGGTTTTATGAGTCCTTGTTTCACTTGCTAACACCAAAACAACAGTGGTTGGTTATGGTCTTTGTTGTAACATTGCTTCGTTTCTTTTTACTTTCTAGTGTTACTTTTTATTTTTGAAAATTGTTACAGGCTGGATCGCATGACTACATATGTGGTCAAAACAATGTAAACCATCCATTTTAAAGATGGATGCTAGTAGGTGCTCCATCAAAAACCAATGGAAACTAACGATCCAAATATTTTTTTATTAGAATTATTATTTCTAGCTTTTAGAATTTATTTATTTTTTATATTCATAATTTCCCTGTTAGAGATTAAATGTCTTTAAAAATTAAATCCAAAAAATTCATCTCAAAAATAGATTTACTAATAGGCCAACAATTCTACATATGCGGATTGGCCGCATAGAAACTGGGTCCTTTTTTTATTTAGAGCTGTGGTCGGGTCTCAAAAATTAGGGCTTGGATCACAAAATATGGCCCGAGAATTGGGATAGGCCACATGGACAAAATAGATGTCCACTAAAGCAGCACGCGATACAAAATAAACCAATCCTAAAACAACCGTTATACAAAATGAAAGAGTGATTTAAGTACCGACCGTAAAATTTTAGGTAAAATACAAAATGCTCATTTTATAGGTAGAAATTACAAAGAAAGTAGGTCAACCCACTTTTTTTATTTTACAAAATTGCCCATCGGTCAATCCAAAATTTGATTATTATTTTTCGATTCTTTTTAAGTTTTTCATTAGTAGGGTAGGGCACCAAGGTTTAAGGCACTGCTCTACTAACAAAACACAAAAAAAACAAAAAAGTAAAAAATTAAAATTCTGGTTGATTGAGAGCCAATTTAGAAAAAAAAAAAAAACGAGTTGATCAACCTCCTTTGTAATTTCCAAATATAAGTGGAACATTTCTTATTTTACCTAAAATTTTAAGGTCCTCGAAAAATGAAATTTGAAATTAAACTCATCAAGAAAGATATGGTTACAGGACAACAGGTTAATTTAACAATGCACTCCATGTCATAAAACGCCACGATTCCATGGCTAAGCAATACAAAGCATCAAATTCTCTCTTTTACTAGAGTTCACTCATTGAAGGCTATAGCAATGGGGCTCCTCACCTCATACTTGGACCCAGAGTACCACTTTATGTGGCCTTGAGAAAAGGGCATGGATCCAGCCCCATAGCTACACAACACAACTTCAAATGTTTGCTTCTCATTCATTTTCTTAAAGTAAAGCTTTTTGGGCTTCACCTCCACTTTCACTCCTTGAGGTTCCACCACCTCCACCTCATAAGTAGAATACTTGGCCCCAACATTGGTTACTGTCCTTTTAAAGGTAAAAGAAGAAGGCCCTGTTGGAGAGAAGACTGCAGAGATAGATGGGTAGTTTAAGTCTCCCTCAGAGATGCTGGTTTGGTTTGAGCACTTGAAATGGCTCCTAACAATGGCTTGGATTTGGGCCTCGGTGTACCCTAGCCCGCACAAATAGGGTATGTAGTCGCCGGCACTGAGGTCGTAGATGAGGCCGGGGTCGGTGGCTTTGGTGGGGTTCACGTGCCCGGCGCCAGTGGCGAAGATGTCGGCTGGGCCTTGGGTCTCATCGGTTATGGGCTTCCCCTCGGTGTCGTATGGGTTTGCGGTGGTCATCATTGCCGATTTTAGGGCGGCGGGGGACCAGTCAGGGTGCGTGCTCTTGAGCAATGCAGCCAGCCCACTTAGGTGGGGGGTCGACATGGATGTGCCGGAGATCACGTTGAAAACTACTCTTCTGGTGTCGTTCAGCAAGCCAGAAGGGCTCAAGTTTAAGGGCCAGCCGGCCAGGATGCTCACACCAGGGCCGATGATGTCTGGCTTTAGTATTCCGGGACTCTCGACACTGGGTCCTCTGGATGAGAAGCCGGCGACAGCAGGGGAAGCAGTGTCCCTGAACACAGTGCCCTTGAAGAGAATCGTGGCCGTGGGGTATTGAGTCGAGTTAATGTAGGCCTTCATCGTGTCCCCGTCCTGAAAGCTAACCTGAGATGCCGGCAAAACATGGGTGTCGGCGATGAGGCTGAAGGCATTGAGCTCGTCGTTCATAAGTATCATGGCCACGCCCCCGGCTTGTAAGACATTCTCACCCTTCTGAACCCGGCCTATGCCGCCCCCTCTCTCGCAAAACACCACCTTGCCGGAGACTTGGCTAGGGTCTAGGGCACCTTCAGCACACTGTGCAGCGCTGAGGTTCCCGCTCGCACCGGGGTACACAAGAGGCAGCAGAGTTGGCTTGAAGAACTTTGGCTGGAAAAGGGATTCACCGATGAAGATGCGGCCATTTCCGAGCTTCACATCGGCTATGATTTCTCGGTCAAGTGTACTCGCTCCCACAGTCAGCACCCAGGGTGCCTCATTCACCAGAGTCGAGTGTAGTGGCCCGGAGTTCGCAGCTGCGCAGCTCATAAAGATTCCCTTCTGCACCGCGGTGAAGCCGCCAATTGCCACAACATCCTCAAAGAACCTGGTGGACTCACCACCGAGTGAGAGCGAGAGCACATCGACACCATCCTCGACCGCCTGGTCGAGAGCCGCCAGTATATCAGAGTCTGCACATGTCTCACCGAAACACACCTTATAAATAGCCAAGTGCGCTTGCGGTGCCATGCCTACAGCAGTGCCCTCAGCATTGCCAAGTACCTCCGCATGAGGCACGAACCCGCCCGTCGCAGTTGTTGCCGTATGCGTGCCGTGCCCATCCATGTCTCTCGGAGAGTTCAGCCCAGGCTGCTCAGCAGCGGCCTCTCCAAGCATGGCCTTGGCACCAGCATTAAAGAGTTGAGCCCCAATGAGCTTGTTGTTGCAGTTCGATGAGTTGAAGTCTTCCCCGGCATCAACACAGATACCTTTCCACTTAGCCGGTGGCGGTGGCATGCCCCTGGGGTCAAGAGACGGGTGCTCCGGCCATATACCCCCATCTAGGACACCAACAATGGTGCCACTGCCAAACCCAGCATCCGGCCAGACCCCCCGGTTCGGGCTGAGCCCTAAGAATTGAGGCGTGCGCGTGGTTTGAAGTCGAAGAAGCTTATCGGGGTAGGCATGGAGGAACCCATCTTTGGCTTTCATGGATTCTACTTCTTCAGTTGTGAGCCTTGCTGCAAAGCCATCAATGACTTTGTTGTAGGCATAAACCATTCTTGATTCAGTTGCGGAGCTTGATGTGAGAGTTTTCGGAAAGAAGGATTTGTACCAGCTTTCTCTCTCTAGAGAGCTGGAAATTCCGCTCTCTGGTTGCCTCACATGAATTATATAAGTTTCGAGCTGCTGCTTCACTGCCTTGGTTGGAGAAGAAGAATGGTGGTGGTGAGGGCGAGAGGCAGAAGCCCCATGGAGCAAAAAAATGGCACACAAGATGGTAGTGCTTCTCCAAAGGGATATTCTCGGATCCATTGCTCCTCTGGAAATGAAGGGGATTTGAGGTGTGGGTTTGGTGCTTGGGTTTATATGGAGTAGAGTTGAAACGGAGACTAAGTCCAATGGAGATGGGTCCATGGGAGGCGAGATGTTATCACTTGGAAGGCTCTGGGTCCATGGGAGGGGAGATGTTATCGCTTGGAAGGCTCTGGGTCCATGCGGCAGGCCGGTGCAGCCTAGTGAGAGAAAGTGATATTTTAGAAAGAGAGATCGCGTGGGTACAAAAACCGGCCTCTAAATGGAATCGTCCATACGCGGTTTCGAACTTTTGTAGATGTCAAGGGGAGCCGGACGACAAATTCACCGAGTATAAAAACTATCGACTCTCGCGCATTAACCCATAAGCAAAGGCAGAGAAAACTCTTTATTTCATCAATTTCTTTCAAAAAAAACCTATAACAAATAAACCTAACTAATATTATGACCCAACTTTTACCCACCCCATTTTACAAAGAAAATAGAATTTTTTGTTCCTTTGCCATAACTAAGAAGATAACTACCTCTTCCTTTCCATTACCTCACGCGCCTCTATGATAGGGGAACATAGTATGTCATTCTAGACCTCCTAAAATATCCATTCAAAAATAAAATTTGATAATTAACCAAAATAAATCTGTAATTTGATTCTTTCCATTTTCTTCTATTGAACTTCTTAAAAGATAATTACAACTCCCTACTTCATTTTTTGTACCTGCATAGCTCATTATCTTCTCTAGTTTCAACCCAACTAAAAAATTTATCACTCTTTTTAAAATATAAAATAAAATATATTTTCTATAAACTAAAGATAAACACTTATACTCCCAACTAATACAAGAGATAGCCATCTTTAAGCCTAAAATCAGTAACCTCCTATTTTCCTTAAAAAAACTATACACAAGAACGGATCTAAAAAAAACTTATACCCACGTTTCCATAATCTTTTTCTTTTGTAAAAAAATAAATATCTCCTAGCTAAAGACCAACTCCTCTAAGATATAAATGGATTCACAATCTCCTATGCTTTTCTAAAAGATAACCATAAATTTTTTTGAAATTATTTATAAATATATAGGAAAAGATCTTGAGCTAGTAGGAGATTGAATAATGAATCTTCGCCAATCTCATGGTCATGATTGTGAGTCATATTTGATTTTAATTTTTTTCAACAAATTTAAATCACTTAAAATTTGGAGCACCTACTCTTCTTATCAAGACACACCTAAAATACTAAATACTTATTCGTAAAAATAGATTGACCAAAATACCCCTATAAATTTAGTTGTATTTTAGTCAATTTTTAAAATTATTTTTGTAATATTTATACTAGGTTTTCCTATTTTTCAATAGCAGATGCTCAAGATTTAAAGTGAATTGGATTTGTAAAAAAAAAAAATTTAAATTCAAATACAAAATGTAAACGTGATTATTAGACCGACTCAGATTCAATTTGTACCATTGAATGCTTACCATAGCTGTAAGTTAACGGGCTGACCTTAGACTCTCCCTATATATATATATATGTGTGTGTGTGTGTGTGTGTGTGTGTGTGTGTGGGCGCGCGCTCGTAGATATGTTTGCCGTTCGGGTCAGATTTAGGTAAGGTCGACCTGTTCCCGGATCCAACTCAGGTCCAAGGTTTTAGACCCAGACCCAACCCACCAAGTTCAAAACTTAGACACGGACCCAAACCTAGGTGGGTTCGACCTACCGGGTCGTCAGGTTGACCTGAGCTTATTGCCAACCTTACGCTGAGCACAGGTCAAACCAGCCTTGGCCCAAGCAGGGCCGAAGATTTTCCTGACCGTAGCAAGGAAATTGAACCAGACCTTGTAGTCTGGGCTCGGCCCCAATAATGTCAGCTACACAAGCTGAATTTGCGTAACAAATATGTAGTTTATGTTCGGGCCTTTTAAGTGTGTTTTTTCAGCTTAGTCTGCTGGGCGAGAAACCCAAACGACAAAATTTGGCATCATAGCGCACCAGATGCTATTTCGAAAACTGCGTCATTGTTGCCATTTCGACCTGGAGTAACTTGGAAGTTGTTTCCAAATTGAGAAGGAAAACGTTTATGGAAGGGGTTGACCTTATAATGTAGAAATAAGGTGCACCTAACCAATCTATCTCAAAAGATTGTTTCTGACATAAAAAAGCTTTATAATTGATCATCTCGACCCCGAGGTGTTTGGAAATGAAAATAAAAGGATCTCATTACAATTGACCATCTCGACCCCGAGGTATTTGGAAATGAAAATAAAAGGATCTCAAGTACTATCAAGTACTAAACAGTACACTTATAACACATTATCAAAATTGTCCATTTTGTTTTTTAAAAATTCAATATATACTATTTTTGCAGCTCTAGGTTTCATATTTAAGGCTTAAAAACAGATTTTCAGGCCATCATATGGGTTTCGAGCACTAGATCTACATCTTTTAGCAAAATTTAGCTGAAACCGCAGCCAGTTGAGAAGTCTATACAAGGCTGTAACCTTATACTTTTTCATTTTCATTAAGGATAAAAGTTTCATTCTTTTATAATTTAGTCAATAATTTATTTTACAACAGAATTAGAGTTTTCTTGATGTTCAAGTTTAGTCTATAAACAGAGGTCGTAATAAGGATTCTGATTCACAGTTAAATCTTATTCAAAACTACGTTAATTGAGAACCGAGTTGGATTCGTGGAATGTTGGTAACTATAGAAGTTAGGCTTGTTAGCTTCTAATTATATGTACAAGTAAGATGTTTGTTCTTTGATTTCCTTTATGTTATTTTGGAATTTGCATCATTGAGGTCCATGCCTAGTCTGACTAGGCTAGAAAATCAGATGGGCTGTGTTCATGTCTATCTTTGGGCTGTGTGATGAAAGTTGGACTATGTAACAGGGCAAGTGTAAATTTTTTTATTTCTTTTCTTTATTTTCACCACCCGGATTACGCATAGATGTTCAAATACATAGTGAGAAACAATAAAATACAAAGAATCCCAAAGACTCTTACTTGTTACCTCTTTAATAATTCTATTACACAAATAAAATTGCATAAACTTGATATTAGGATCATGAAGCATATACTACTCATGGGAACAAGAAAACATAATACTGCAAACCATAAAGAAGATTGTCAGAAGATATATGAACTCATTTTGTGAAAATAAAATATTCAGGGGCTTTTAAAAATTCAAATAATTAATTTAGCATCGCAATAATTAATTTTAAATAATTATGGTTGGAATTGGATCCAACTAGGTCAATGAACTGTAAAATTGTTGAAGCACTTCATATTCTACTGCAGATTATAGTCTGCATGCACTTTCTCAAACTGACTCAAGGGTTTCCCATGACCCACATACCATCACAGGAGTTCATGATTGGGCCACTAAAGCCAATCGTTTCTCAAATTGACCCAGCGGTTCCCATGGCCCACTAACCATCACAAGAGTTCATGATTGTGCCACTAAAGCTATTCAATAGGCGAAGGGACACAATATCAGTCTGTAGATTACAGGTTCTCCCCTAAAGACAAGTCCAATATTATATTACGGTTCTCCCCTAGAGACAAATCCATAATTTTACTGACCTGATGCAACCATAGCTCTATAATATCTCACACATGTACATGCATCACCTTCAATTGTGATTCACTTTCTTAATACATCTGTCATATGTACATGTCATGTGATGCTTCAAAGATGAGGCTTTAGTGTCGTTGTCTTTATAGACCTATCATCAGACACAATGGTTATACAGTCTCTTGGTTCTCTATCCTGGGCAACTCCGACCTCATTAAAGGATGACCTTGTTAACCTTCATCGGTTGTGCATTCAGCCCAAGTAATTAAAGGTTTTCCAACTCGACTAGCCTAGTACGTAAATCCAAATCTGAGTATCGACAAATAATAGTTACGTATCTCGGTTCCTCTGGCCCATAATCTCTTGGTCCCTCTAGACCACAATCTCTTGGTCCCTCTAGACTACACTCCCACTAGAGCTCATTATTCCACTATATCAAGTATTTATTAGGTACTCTCATAGACCTTTAATGGCCACAAAAACCCAACATATGATACTTATACACAATATTTTAAACTAGGCCAAAACTAGATAGGATCGAATGTAGAGTTGTTTGCGACCGGTAAACCTATCAAAATAAGTAAAGCTTCACCTCAAAACTCATGAGAAATTGCAGTTCTGGTGTTGGAAAATCTTCAAATTGATCATCTTAACTTCGACCATTATGGTTGTGAAAAAGAAATAGGATTAGAAGCCCTAAAAATAGTTTATATTATAACATATTATCTAGAATGTCTATTTTCAAGTGTTCGCGAATATGCTAGACCTGTACTATTTTTTGAGGTGCAAATTTCATAATCAGTAATACAAATTGTTCTCTAAAATGAGGAACACCATACGCTCTCCCATTGCATATATCATAAGTTTATGTATGTGGTATTTAAATAAAAATATATATTATATTTTTAAATATAAAAGAATTTTTTATAAGTTTTAAATATAAAACTTTTAAATCGATCATCTCAACCATGATTATCATGGTTGTGAAAAACAAAAAGGAAATATTATCTAAACTATCCATTTCCAAATGTTCATAGATTTGCAAGATCTATACTTTTTTTTGAGCTTCAAATCTAATAGTCAGTAGCATAAATTGAGTTTAGAACCATCATATGCCCAAATTGTTTCCCTGACAAGGTTTAAAGGTGAGGCTTCCCTTGTTTTTTAATTTTATTTTTGCTCATAAAGACCAAGCCTTGTAGAAACTACATCCCAAAATCAAATGTGATGGGAAAGTATTATTTGAGGAGTAAACACTCTTACAAAATGGTTGTGATCACTAGGTGATATTTTAAGAGAACGCAAACGCCGTGGCAATGGGCCGGTAGCCCGTTCCTAAAACCTAGGCCTCAAGTTGTTAAGAGTCGCAATCCGGTCGGGTCAACCTGTCGGGTTTGGGTCTGGGTCCAAATAACTTGGACCCGACTTGGGTTTGGTGGGGTCTTGGTTCGGCTTGGACCCTATCGGGTTAGGTTGGGTGTGGGTCGAGGTCGACTTGATCCTAGTATACAATATAGACAATATATATATTGTTCACATGTAAAATTAAGTTTTTATCTTTCATTTCAAAACCCAAGCCTCGGTCCAAATGACTTGGACCCGACCTAGACCGGGTTCTGGTCAGCTTTGGGCTTTACTTTTTGCCATAATGCCTAAGCCCTTTTTTAAACGTTTTCCTTTAAGTAGGATGCAATTTCTATAAGGCCTATGCTTTTTGAAAAAAAAAAAGTAAAGCCTCACCTTGAAACATCATTCGGAAAATACTTTGGGCTTTTAAAATCAATTTCTACTACCGACTTTGAAATTCGAAGCTAAAAAATGTGTTGCATATACATTATTTTTAGAGTTTGAAATCCTAATTTTTTTCACAACAATAATACTCATAGTTCAAGTGATCGACACGTCCGGTCCATCACCCGAATGAAGATAAACATAAAGTGAAATAGAAAGAAAAGCCATAAACAATTTTACCCAAGTCTTAAAGAAAATTGTCATCCTTTATGGTAATTATCCCCTTGTGGCAATTACACCCCTCTCCCTCCTTTCCCTTTTTTTGGAAAAAAAGCTAGGGCAATTGCCCCATTAAGAGACATTTCAGCAATTTTTCATGCATAGGGAGTTTTATTTACCTGGCCCTATGAAGAAGATATAGTCATAATTCAAAACACTTAATAAAAAGGAAAAGTATATAATGAGACTATTTATCTTTGGTATAAGGTGGTCGCAATTCAAAACAAGTAATAAAAAGGAAAAGTATATAATGAAACTATTTATCCTTGGTACAAGGTGGTCACAATTAATCTTGACCATTAGATGTAAAATTAGATGGCTGCATTTATTCCAATGAACAAACTCAAACTTCAAAATAAATTTTCTCGAGCCTTGAGGTATACTAAACTATCAAATTTCATATTGAATGGTAGTAAATAATTGTGACCTCCTTATATCAAAAGTAAAAGGTATCATTGGCTACAATCCCTAATAAGAAAGTTCCAAGTTGTCCAAAGCCAAGAATGGTTTATGCTTGAGAATGGGGTTGGGGTCGTGGTGGTAGTATCACTTGTGCCTTAACTAAGGTGTAGGCTTCTATTCCCACCTCAAGTATTAAAAAACTACTAATGATTTAAAAAATGGTAGTATAAAATTTACCGACAAACAACACTGACAAAGATAAACTACGTTTAAAAAAAAAAGAGAAATAAAAATCGTGAAGATACAAGTATTATGGCACAGTCAAAATTCAAGAGAAGAAACAACACAAAGGAACTTCTCTCTCTCCACGATCTCAAAGTTTACATTTTTTTTTTTTTTTTTTCATTCATCAAATTCAATCCCAATTCGAATTCACGTGCTCCTTAGAAGAAAGGATGCCCACAAAAGGTCTTCTCTTTTTCTCCACGATCTCAAAGATCCCTTTTTTTTTTTTTTCATTCATCAAATTCAATCCCCATTACAAATCACGTGCATCTTTTATAGGAGTTTTACATTCACCAACCTAAAAATAACTACTAAATAAAGATTGCTAACAAAAAGACTATGAGTTATTCCATAACTAATGCAACTCCTACCCACGTTACCTTTCACAAAATAGGCCTTTCCTTTCTATAACTAAAAAACAAACAATTTTGTCAAGTTCTTAGTATCTCACGTCCATAGAGGATGAGCCTCCTTCAATTTACGTATCTCATTCTAAATCTCCTAAAATATCTCCCTAAAAACAAAATGTGACTTAACTAAACGTAACCTCTATTTTTTCAAATAAAAGATGAACATAACCTTATATGCCTAAAACCAACTCAGACAAGAAAATTAAGAAACGCATTTATCAAAATAAACTAAAAAATCATAATAAACTAAAAAGCTCATACTAATCTTATTTCTAAACAAAAAAAAAAAGTCTATCCAACCTTTCAAAATAAAATTAAAAATTTATATCGTCCAAATTTTGAGGGGCTTGTCATCCCCACTCAATTACCCACAAAAAAAAATAAAAAATAAAAAAAAATAAAAAATAAAAAAAAGGAAAAAAGAAAAAAAAAAAGGAAAAAAAGAATGGTTTATGCTCATAGTGAAGTCATTCATGGCTTTGCGGCAGAGGCTCACCCCTGAAGAAGTTAGAGTCCATGAAGCCCCAAGATGGCTTCCTGCATGACGAGCTCATTCGCCTTCAGACCATCCGAACACCCAAGTTCTTAGGGCTTAGGCCTAAACTGGGGCATTGGCCCCATACTGGGTTTGAAAATGGCACCATCATGAACTGGAGGGTTGTCGTCTGCTCCCCTTGATATCTCCACAGGTTCGAGGCCGCATATGCACGATTCCATCAAGAGGCCGGTTTTTGTACCCATGCAATACGGCCATAACCTTGGCATCGAACCCCTCAGGGCTCTAAAATATTTGTTTCGCTGCACAGGACTTGGTCTCAAGCTAGTCTCAACTGTATATAAGCCCTAGCATTTGATAGCACCTATCCCATACCCCCTCATTTCTAGAGAGAGAAAGCAATGGATGAAAGAAATGGAGCAATATCTCTCCTCGTGTGTGCCATTTTTTTGGTGCATGGGCTCGGCATGGCTTCTGCCTCTCGGCCTTACCACCTTTCTTCTTATGCTAAGGCAGAGAAACAGCTGCTCAAAACTTACATTATTCATGTGAGGCAACCAGAGAGAGGAATTGCCAGTTCTCTAGAGAGAGAAAGCTGGTACAAATCCTTCTTACCAAAAACACTCACATCAACCTCCTACACTGAATCAAGACTGGTTTATGCATACAACAAGGTCATTGATGGCTTTGCAGCAAGGCTCACCCCTGCAGAAATAGAATCCGTGAAGGCCAAAGATGGCTTCCTCCATGCCTACCCTGATAAGCTTCTTCGACTTCAAACCACACGAACGCCTCAATTCTTAGGGCTCAGCCCGAACCAAGGGGTCTGGCCGGAGGCCGGTTTTGGCAATGGCACCATTGTCGGTGTCCTTGACACGGGCATATGGCCGGAGCACCCATCTCTAGATCCTGCTGGCATGCCACCGCCACCGGCTAAATGGAAAGGTGTCTGTGTTGATGCTGGTGAAGAGTTCAACTCGTCGAACTGCAACAACAAGCTCATTGGGGCGCAATTCTTTAACGCTGGTGCCAAGGCCATGCTTGGAGAGGCTGAGCTGCCTGGGCTGAACTCTCCGAGAGACACAGATGGACACGGTACGCATACAGCAACAACTGCGGCAGGCGGGTTCGTGCCGAATGCGGAGGTACTCGGCAATGCTGAGGGCACTGCTGCCGGCATGGCACCGCACGCGCACTTGGCTATTTATAAGGTGTGTTTCGGTGAGGTATGTGCAGACTCTGATATACTGGCGGCGCTTGATCAGGCGGTCGAGGATGGTGTCGATGTGCTCTCGCTCTCACTCGGTGGCCCGTCCATCCCCTTCTTTGAGGATGCTATAGCAATTGGTGGGTTCACTGCGGCACAGAAGGGCATCTTCATGAGCTGCGCAGCTGCAAACGCAGGGCCACTACACTCGACTCTGTCGAATGAGGCACCCTGGTTGCTGACTGTGGGAGCAAGCACCCTCGACCGAGAAATCAGAGTGGATGTGAAGCTCGGAAATGGCAGCATCTTCGTCGGTGAATCCCTTTTCCAGCCAAAGGACTTCAAGCCAACTTTGCTGCCTCTTGTGTACCCCGGTGCAAGCGGGAACCTCAGCGCTGCACAGTGTGCTGAAGGTGCCGTAGACCCTAGCCAAGTCTCCGGCAAGGTGGTGTTTTGCGAGAGGGGGGGCGGCATAGGCCGGGTTCAGAAGGGCGAGAATGTCGTAGAAGCCGGGGGCGTTGCCATGATACTCATGAACGACGAACTCAACGCCTTCAGCCTCATCGCCGACACCCATGTCTTGCCGGCATCTCATGTTAGCTTTCAGGACGGGGACACGATCAAGGACTACATTAACTCAACTCCAAACCCCACGGCCAAGGTTCTCTTCATGGGTACCGTGTTCCGGGACACCGCATCCCCTGCTGTGGCCAGTTTCTCATCCAGAGGACCCAGTGTCGCGAGTCCCGGAATACTAAAGCCGGACATCATTGGCCCCGGCGTGAGCATCCTGGCCGGCTGGCCCTTAAACTTGAGCCCCTCCGGCTTGCTGAACGACTCGCGAAGAGTAGTTTTCAACGTGATCTCCGGCACATCCATGTCTACCCCCCACCTAAGTGGGCTGGCTGCACTGCTCAAGAGTGTTCACCCCGACTGGTCTGCAGCCGCCATAAAATCCGCGATGGTGACCACCGCAAACCCCATGGACACCAAGGGGAATCCCATAACGGATGAGACCCAAGGCCGAGCCGACGTCTTCGCCACCGGTGCCGGGCACGTGAACCCCACCAAAGCCGCCGACCCCGGCCTCGTCTACGACCTCAGTTCCGACGATTACATACCCTATTTGTGTGGGTTAGGGTACACCGATGCCCAAATCCAAGCCATTGTTAGGAGCCCTGTCAAGTGCTCAAACCTAACCACGATCTCTGAGGGAGACCTAAACTACCCATCTTTCTCTGCAATCTTCTCTCCATCAGGGCCTTCTTCTTTTTCCTTTAGAAGGACAGTAACGAATGTTGGGGCTGAGTATTCTACTTATGAGATTGAGATGATGGAGCCTCAAGGAGTGATTGTGGAGGTGAAGCCCTCAAAGCTTTACTTTGAGAAAGTGAATGAGAAGCAAACATTTGAAGTTCTGTTCGCTCGCCATGGGAATGGGTCCTTGCCCTTTGCTCAAGGGTACATAAAGTTGTACTCTGGCACCAAGTATGAGGTGAGGAGCCCCATTGCTATCACCTTCAGTGAGTGAACTCTTGTAAAACAGAGAATTTGATGCTTTGTATTGCTTAGCCATGGTGTTATATTACATGGAGTGCATTGGTAAATTATCATACTGCAGTATCTTTCATGATGACTGTAATTCCCAATTTCAAATTTAGTGTGGTTTATGTTGTCCTTATGGACGATCCTAGGCCTTGCATTCGGAACACATTTTGTGGTCGGCCTTTGCTTTTTAAAGTCCAGCAACCAACCCTTCCTTCAAAGAAATCGAAACACGGCCAACCGACCTAAACTGAAAAAATTAAAAAACATTTGAAAAGAAATTAAAACAACCACCCTGAGAAGATATGTCCAAAGTTTTTGGCATTAACAAGTCAGACCAGTGTTTAGAGAAACCGTCCGAGTCGACTCGGAACTGCCCGTCACCATTTTTTAATGCAAAAAAGCCAAAAACAAAGGGACTTTTAGGCTTTTTTAAGTTTATAATCAGTAAACCTTCTAATACTTTTTTTCCTCTACAAACAAGCTTTCAACATCTTATTTCTGATAAAAGTAAAACTATTCATTGCATCGAATTGAGATTTTGAAGATTTCCTCATTAAAAAATGCCCTGTTTCTTGAACCCTAAACTTCAAATCTGCCACTCCTTCGATTTCTCTATCGATATTTAACCATAAAGATTGAAACTTGTCCAAATTATTTGGGTTCAATCCTTCTCAAAACCCCCACGTGAATATATTATATGAAAAACAAAAATAAGAGAAATCAAGATTCCAACTTTATAGGGCTTTTTTAACCCAAAATTAAAACCCTCTGCTTTCTCTCTAATTCTATCATGAAATTCATTTAATTTTGTCCAAAATTCTTGTAGCATATTGATCAACAAAAGCTCTAATAAATTTTTGAAATTAAAATTCATGAAAATTAATTTTTGTTTAACTCTTTGACATTTTCCACTTTTTTCTTCCAAATGCTTTTATTTTATTTTATTTTTTTTGTGCCTCCTATATTTGGCATCTTGATTTATGTAGTTTTTTATATCTTTTAGTAATTTTTTGCATATTTATTTGTCAAAAATTTATTCAATACATTATCATCATCATTTTCAAAGCCTTTTCTTAACTAATTTGGGTTTGATACATGAATCCTAGTCTACCATTCTGCTCTATTAGGGGCCATACATAAGTTCTCATATCTTTTATCACTCAACCATGTCTTTTTGGGTCTATCCCTTACCCTTTTTGAGTCTTTCACTTCAATGAACTTGCATCTCCTGCGAGGTGGTGTACTAGGTTAGTGCCATACATTGCCAACCCACCTAAGTCTATTTTTTTTCATCTTATTGCCTATTGTGCCACACTCAAATTCTCACAAATGTATGCATTTCGATTGCTATCCTTTCTTGTCTTGCCCCTCATCCATCTCAATATCATCATCTCAGCTACACTCATTTTATGGGTATGTTATTTCTTGAACTCCCAACATTCAACGCCATAAAGTAAAGTTGTTTTCACAACTGTCTTATATAATTTACCGTTCAACTTTATTGTTATGCAGTGATCACATAGATTCTGATGCACATGTCTACTTTGCCCATCCATTTCTAATTTTATGTGTGACATCTTTCTCAATCTCGCTATTTTTTTAGATTATCGGCTCAAGATATTGGAAGTGCATTATTTTTAGTATTTCTTAGCCGTCAGTTTTAACTGTTTCCTTGTCTCTACTTTTATATTACTAAACTTGCATGTCATATATTTTGTCTTAATGCTACTAATTTTAAAACATTTAAATTCTAGAGCAACCCTCCAAAGTTCTAAATTTGTGTTGATGCCGTTGCGGGTCTCACCGATCAAAACTATATCATCTATGAACAACATGCACTGCGGTACCTCATCTTGCATGTGCGTAGCTAGGTCGCATTTAACTAAGACAAAGATATATGGGCTCAATGCCGACCCTTAATGTAGACCTATTATCCTATAAAAATTTCTTGTTTCTCTACTAGTTGTTCGTATACTAGTTAGCGCTCTCTTGTACATATCCCTCACTAAGTCAATGTAGTGTCAGGACACTTCTTTCTTTTTCAATACCCACTAACTCAAATATCTAGGCACTCTATCATAAGCTTTTTCTATATCAATAAAGACCATGTGGAGGTCTTTTCTCTTTACCTTAAACTTCTCAATCAGTTCCTTAAGGAGAAAAATAGACTCAGTTATTGACCTCCTTGACATAAAAACAAAATAGTTATTTGATACACTTGTTTCATGCCTTAATCGTTGCTCAATCACTTTCTCCCATAGCTTTATAGTGTAACTTAGAAGTTTGATCGCTCGATAGTTCACACAATTCTGTATGTCTCATTTGTTTTTGTAAATAAGTACCACAATACTTTTCATCCATTCATCTGGCATTTTCATTCTTTTCAATACCTAGTATACAACTTGGTTAGCTAGTAAATGCCAATCTACCCCAGGCACTTCCAAACCTCTATTAGGATACCATCTGGTCCTCCAGGCTTCTCTATCTTCATCCTCTTTAAATCTTCTTTCACTTATGATATCCTAAATTGAAGAATGTATCTATGACCTCCTCCCTCATTATGCCAACAATTCCTTCTATCGCTAAGTTTCTTATATATTCATTATTTAATAATTTTTTAAAATAAACTTGGTCGGGGCTTGATTTTTCTTCGCACACACGACGGGAAAAATCCTCTCTCAAACAACCGCGGAGGGTCCGCTCACACTGCACGTTGGTGGGTGTGCGCACACGTGCTCTCTTAAGTATCGGTAGGAATCAACAAAGAGAGAATTTTTACGATGCAGGTGCATTTAGGTACTTACCTTATCGTTTGGGGTTTAGGGACACGCTCGGACCGTTTCGCCATCTTAGAACAGCTACGAAGCCCTCCGGTTATCTGCCTGCGCGATTTGGGCATGAACTCTCCCTAGGATTTTGACATGTCACTTTGCTTTATCATGCTGGAAACTGCGACATGGATTCACTGTTACTCCTCTAGGATGTCACACTTGAACAAGGGCTGACTGGCCAAAAGAAAGGTTAAGGGAAAGAGGGTGGAGACGATCTCCCTATCTGTGCAAATGCTACGTGCTCGGGGTAATCAAGGCTACTGAAAGGGTTAGAACCCTCTTGACTATTGGCTTAGGATGACTAATCCCGAGTGACTGAAGGAGAGAGCGTATGCGTCTCTCACGACTCAACTGGATTGTATGAAGAGGAAGTTAGAGCGATGATATGAGGATTGGAACTCACCCTGAAAGGTATTGAGTTCGATTGTATGTGGGATAATGAGGTGCTACACGGGACTACAAGTCTTACTACGTTCGCTCAAGACGCATGGGATAAAGAGATGTGACCGTGCGTTGGCCGCATGTATGGGTCACTGCACGGCACGCAAGAGTGAAGAGAGAGAGAAAAAGAAAAGAAGAGAGAGATCGTAGCCGCATGATCAGGATGGGGCAGGGGTAGTTTCTCTCTCGCTGATTAGGATCATAGCCGCATGATTAGGATGGGCCAAGGGTAGTTTTCTCTCTCCTCAGCGTGGGATCTAGGGTAAGAAGTAAAAGACAAGTGAAACAAACTTAATGCCTCTATATCATTGATGAATGATCCGACACTTTTACAATTGACGTAGGCTTATATTTATAGAGGATCCACAAAACAGGGGTAGATACTCAAGACTAAGCCTAATTACAATTAAAAGAAATTATAATAAAATCCTGAATTTAGGAATAAAGACTAAAATAGCCCTTAAATCTTCTGTGCAAATGACAAAACCATCCCTTTTTGAGGGGCCTTTCGCCATTGCCAGATCTTGAAAGATTTTTTGGACAGTTGTGGCGGTGATTCAAACAATCCATCATTATAGTCTTGATGCTTGTTTGCTTCTGAAGAGTTTGATGTCTTTTGATCGTCTTGAGGCAGACTTTTCCCAAGAGGTAGAAATCCAACTAGATCCGTGGTGTTTCAAGTCTTTATTTTGATTACAAATTAAAGTGGAGACTTCCGCATTTGTTTTGCACAAATTTTTTTTCGTTTTGGTCATTGTTTGAAGTACTTTCCAATTTTGGGAGATCACCGAAAAAAGGGATTCCAGCGACTAGGCGATCTTGCTTTTCTTCAACCTTGGAATCTGCGTTTTATCTGGCCTTATTTTGAGTGTAAAAATCATACAATCTTGTAGCCCTTTGTGATACGGTCTCATCAGACCTATCTTTGTGATGATCCAATGTATAATTCTAAAGTTTATTGCTTCACGAAGTTTGAGATGTGTTTTCTTCAAAAAGCTATAATTTCCATGGTTTTAGACTCATCTTCTCTCTAGAAAAGCTTTGATTTTGGGTCATGTCATGACGTGTGTCATATGTCAAAATGACCTGGTCGTCGAGACCTATCTTGTGTCCAAATTTGAACTCTCTTCGACTTCAATCGAGCAACATGTGGGTGTTTGTAGGTCATCCCAAAAGGTAAAGATCACAGCATCCATGATTGGGGACTGGTAGGCCCCACTGCAATAGTGTATGACTTTACCCTTTCGAGGTGCTTTATGGCCATAATGTTTAAGCAAGCTAGCTCTAACTTCAATGCAAAGCTCTAAGCGAAGTGGTCTTTATCCTTTTTTCTTTTTTTTTCTCTTTTTCTGGGAAGTTCGATTGAGCGTAAATTACGTCTCTAGGGGTTTGTCAACATTCTAGATGCAATGACGGTGGTCTGGTACTATTTTAAAGCCCCTAGCTCTGCACAATAGTTGTAAGTCTCTCTGTGGCGTGATGGTACTTTTTCCAAGGTTGCCTAGTGTTAGGCTTATTTTGTAGTGTTCATTTGGTCTAACGGTGTCTTGGGTACTAGCAGGACTAGGTTGTCACTAGCTCTCTTCTTATTTATATCAGAGGTGTAGGTACGTTTGAAATGATGTACAACAAAACTCTCCATCTTTCGTTGACCACTTCATCCTTCGCCAAGAGCCTTTGATCTCCACTTGTAATGCATTTAATACAGCCT